TCTGAAATGTAAATATCCTCAAAATACAGAGAGAAATGTTTTGGTTTTTTGTAACAGATGTACGTAATCCAGGCTGTTAGTGAAACCTAAACAGAATGCTCCATGGAAAACTCCCAGAGAGAGATTTAAAAAAACCTCCAGTTATTTTTATTTAGATCTGCAGCTGAAAATAGACAAGAGTATAAATGGTATGGAGTGGAGGAAGAGTTGCTGAAGAGATCGCAAAAAGGAATCGAAGATTGTGATGAGGTAATGGTCACCCTACTTTTAGACAACATCTGAGCAGCAGTTCCTTTTATTTAGATCCATTTGAAGCAGTGAAAGACGCTAATCAGCTGATTAAGTTTTCTTACAGCAAGCGGCTGATGCAGATGTAATTACTCGGAGTGATGATCAGATGGACAAGTTGCTTGTCAATGCAAACTGCATTCTGAGTTGTTTGGGGAAAAAAACCCAGGTGCCTCAGCTGGTGGGACAAGTCAGAGAGTACTGCATTGGTATAACTAGACTTGGGTCCTCACTTTTAATTTTTTTTGTTTGTTTGTTTTTCTTACCTGTAAACAAAGGTGAGGTATCTGCTACCTTCACTGGCTAGAACAGAAGTTCAGACATCAGAATACCCTCTAGCTGTAATCTGTAGAAAAATGAGCTGTTATTTAATTATTCTTATTTGCTTCTTTTATGAAATCCTTTTGACGAAGTAGGATGAAAGCAACCTCTGGCTTAATTCCTCTGAGTCCATTCCAGGTTTTAGGAGCTGGTGCATGTGAACGTTTCCAGTATGAATGACCAAACAAAAGCACCCCAATTTGATGCTCACAGTGTGACTTGTTTCTGAGCACTGCCTGATGCTAACGAGTACTGGCATATAAGAAGGTGGCCAGCACCAGTCACCTTGGGACATCAGGGCACTTCAATAGGTGTCTAAATGTGAATTTGGTTGGTTTAGCAGTAGCATCCAAGCTTGAATACATTGACTGACATCTTGCAAGCATCAGCCACATCAGCCTGGAATGTAAATGTAGTGTCGATAGAGATCACCTCGTAGATTCTGTCTTAAACTGTACCTGGCCATCTTTGCTACTTGTATCTTTGATTTTCCTGGTGAGAGGAATCTGTGATAAGAGAGTATAATGTAATATACTTTCTGCATATCTGAAATAGTATTTAAGTAAACATTTTAATTTCTACATTCTTATTGCACTGAACTGTTTTGGGGTTTGTTTCTTTTTTGTTGTGATAAACTCGGCTCACTTCAGGTCCCAGCACCCGTTTGTGCTGAAGCAGTGTTTGACCTTAGCAGGCTTACAGCATTATTTATAAAGGACAGATATATATATAAATATATGAAGTACCTCATGTTGAATGTTATTGTACTGTATCTTTAATGTCACAGTGCAGATCTTGTTGGACTCATGAATGTGTATAATCACGTTAAACATACAAATAAAAATGATTCTTAAATGATTGTTTCCTGCAGTATCTGTGAAGCGTGAGCTGTGAAAGCCCTCACTTAGTTATCTCTATTGTTGTACAGTTTTGTAGGGATATTTGTTGAGCTTATGCATTCAGAGATCTTTTGATCCCCAAAGAAGCAAAAGTCTAAGGGAAAACCAAGGAAGAACAATGAAAATGTTAATCAGTTACATTGTAAAAAGGTTGACGATTAAGCTAATGAGCTAGAGTGAATGAATTCATTTATGTGCTTTATGAAAGGCCTTGTCTAGTAGCATTAATATTTTAATGTTCTATTAATATTATTAAATATGTGGAGATGAAGGGGGAGGATTCTTTTGTTTATTCTAAGAAGACAGTTGGCAGAGGAAAGGCCTTGCTTTTCAGTCTCTGATAGATCAGAAAGGACATGGTTAGTGCCAAGAGGCTGTTCTCTGCTGAAAAGTTAATTATATCGTATTATTCAGAATTCTGACTATTTTCTTACTTACCAATTTTCTTCCAGAAGATTTGAGGCTTCGTTTTAAATACTTCTGTGGTCAGTGAAGCTGAAGCCCCACTTCCATGATGTCTATCTCCAAGACCTTTCAGATGTTACTAAGCTAATATAAGAAGTACTCCATAGTCTGATAGACATGGAAATTTAATTGAGGACGTCTTCCCCAGTAAAAGTCAGTACCTTCAGAGTTGATCCAAAATTCTGATCAAAGCCTGTTTACAGGCATCAAACTTTTCACTTTTGGTAAGTTGTTAGAGTTCTTATTGCAATACTTGGTACCAAACTGCTACGTTCCTGATCCAAGTTCTCTTATGTGTCCTGCACTTCTCATGTGGAACTGGCTTCAAGCAGGAACTGTCCTATGCCTTGTACTGTACTAATGACACCACCTCTCAAATGTGTGGTAGATACCAATGTGATTTGGTGCAGGAAGGACCACACTGGCTTTAGAAGTCTAAGTTGGTATGTTGGAGGAGATGGGTGCTGTTGGCAGCCTCAGATTCTTTGATAAACAGGCAAGAAGCACATATGTGTTTGCACCAGATAAAAAGGAATTTGAAATGGGAGGAAAAAGTGATAGCATGTTTCTGGGTTGAGGAGGAATTGGCCTCCAAGAGCTGAATTCAGTCTTGCAGGTAATAAATATCCTGCTTGGTAGAGAAGGGACTCCCTGTTCCCACTCAGTTGGAAACTCCTCAGGAGCTGACAGCCTCTGCCCCTCACAAGGACAAGGTCCTGTCTAAAACAGGCTCCTTGTGAATGCTCAGCTTTTGGGTGTAGGAACCCAGGATTTCCTGGCCTCTGATAAGCAAGACTTGTTATCCCACAGCCCAGGACAAGCTTAAGAAAGCTGAGAGAGCTTTTTTGGACCTCTCAAGCCCAGCCCTCAGTGGAAGCTGAGATCCTGGCACAGGGGTGAGGTGGAGACTTCAGCCCATCAACAGTATTTGGCCACTGTAAAAAGCAGTGGCTTTGAAAGCCTATTCCTTACAGGGAATGAGTGGGAGCAGGAATACCTGCTGCTTTCCTGAAGGCAATGAAAAGAGCTGCTTTCTCAGATGGCAGTCTGACCATGTTCAAAATAAAATTAAGAAAAGGCTTCTTGGCATGCTGCTGCATTTCTAGAAGTCTGAATTTATTTTCTCCCCAAGACTTCCTCATAAAGTGAGGCCCTGGCCCAATTGAAATCAGTAGGAGTTGCCCTAGTGACCTCAATAAACCCAGGATTTTCATTTGTAGTGTTCATTTTGTGTGATTATTCCCAAAACACAACATAAAACTGCCCAAGAAAGGCAAATTAATTTTGAAATCCCACTGTAATCTGATTATCTAAAATACAGGTACAAACATTCTATTAAATTTTACAGAACTCCTGCTCATCAGATTTTGTGTGCCTACCCCCAAACCTTTGTACTACAGTGCTTTATCTTCAGCCATGAATCTACAGACAGAACAGTAAATTTGTATGAGGCTTTATGTATATTTTTACAGTCTGTGTGTGAAATTCATAGCAGATACAATGCATAGCACAGATAAAGTATTTTTAAGATTAGAAAGTGCATGTAAATTGCCTGTAGTCTGTTCACCATGAAGGAGGAAACAGAACCCGCTATTTTGCTTGAAGTCACTGGTATTTTGAAAGAGCTTCTTGAAGTCTGAAAGCTTGTTGATACCATCAGAAATATATTTATATTAAGCCTTTAATTGTAGCATTTTAAAATCAGCTTTCTAATTGTTTTCTCTAGACAAAAGATAACACAGTTGGCCTTCAGGGATCCTCCACCCTGGTACAATGGGGTTTACATTTGAGCAAATCCTTGCAAGGGCAGTTTTCTAGGTCTCATTTTAAAGCTTCACAGTGACATTAAGTGCTGCTTGGGGAGCATCAGTGTTTCAGAAATAGCTGTGGCTGGTTTTAGCCTAACAACAAACGGGGCTGGCATGGGGAGGTATCTGAGTGGGGTTTCCATTTCCCTGAGGGTGAAGCACCTCAGGTTGCTGACAGCAACCTCGTGCTGAGCATTGTGTCAAACAGCTCAGCAGCTGGGAGGAATTGGAAGACACAAAGTGCAACGGGAACCTCTGTGTGAAGGCAGTGGTGGAGGCTCCCAGGCCCAGGGCTGTTGTGAGCAAGGCGATTCCACGAGCCAAAGAACTGGGATCGTGTATCACAGTACTCCAGTGATGGAGGGCTATGACTGGGCTGCTGAATGGCATGTGATTGTGATTTCTCACAACTGTGAATCCCATTTTGAATTTTATTGTTATTCTGGGAGAGTTTCCAGCTCTCTTCTACCCTGAGCTGCCTATTCCTACTCTGTGCCAGAGGCTCCCATGTGATTGAAGCCCAACGATTCCCTGTGTTCTGAGACTGGGGGCACTGGGAATACCTGGTGGAAAAGGACTGGTTGAGTGAGAGCGGGACATCCCAGTGCTTTGGTGTGCTGCTTGGAAGCTGTCTTGAATGTGCTGAACACTGGCCTAGCATGGCAGGAGAGGCAGGATAATTCCTTTGTGTGTACAGATGTATTTCAGTATTCCCTAGCCTCACTTTCTCCAGCCAATTGCTGGTTGTGCTCAAAAGGGAAAATGAGCATTAATTCACTTTTTTTGTAGGGTGTGAGAGTTATGATTCTGCAAAGGCTAATTCATGCTTCTGTCTTTACAGAGTCAATGGTCCCTGTGGGCTCAGGGGACGTGTTGGGAGACAGGGCTCACATCTACTTTAAAAGCACACATGGAAACATCTGCTTTCTTTAACGCCTTGTTCTTAGGAAGTTGTGGTGCAATAAAATAAATTCATAGACAGCTGGAGCTTGGCTTGCCTGGCTTGTTTCTGCAGTGGGACTTTTTATGAATAAAAGAACGATGGAACCGTATTTAGCATGGAAATCCTGCAGAACTTCCAGAGCATGGGGGTAGCACAGTATAAAGGCACTTCAAGATGTGAGGATATTGCCCCTTGGTTGCAGTCTTAGGCTAAGGTGTGACATGTTCTTGCTCTGTTCTTACCCACTAGGGCGTGCTGGAGGTGGTACCTGCATCAGGCACCTTCAGTGCTTAGGGAGAAATGTGCTGAGGGAGAGAAAGCACAGAGATCTGGAATACAGAGGAAAAGCATATAATCAGAAATAACAGCTCTCATCAGGCACAGACAATAGATAGCAAACTGGCTTCAGAAAAGATATTCAGGCATCATGGGAGCCAAATCAACAGACACAAGGTAAGAATAGGGTCATGACAACTATTTAAATGATTTTTAAAAGTTGATTGTGCTCGTGACTTTCCTAGACCCTACAGAGGGAGAATTTGTTTTGCTGCCTTAGAATACAGTCCATACATGTTTCTGCCTTTGTCCTCCACACTTCATATGGCAGTTTCTTCACAATATATGCTACATAAGATGTTTTTCCTGCTCAGTGCCAGGCCATGAGCAGGTTGGCTGACCATGCTTAGGAAAACAATTTTCAAGTATAGCCTGTAATTGTCGTATCGAGCGCTCTCCTTCACCCCTCTACACGTGGGGTTTGTTGGCTAACAACAAGATGGCAAAGAGCAGGAATCCCGAGACACAGCTGGGAGAGGAAGCTCTCCTGTTTCCAGGGATGGCAGGAGCAGGGTGTTGTGTTCCCTTTTCAAATGCTCCTAATGATTTGGTGTGAATCCTGCGTGGGCTCAACACGGTGCCTCTGTGGGGAATTAGCTGGGGCACACAGGATGGCCTTTGCAAGTGCTGTGATTTCTGTGTCACCTTTCTGCCAGCTGCAGGGGGGGATGGATGATCCCAGATCTGGCAGAACGCCTGCCGAGGTTTGGAACAGATCTGAACTGACAGAGGGAGTTCATGCCAGGTCAGTGTTTCACGGCATTTCTGAGCTGGTATTAGGAGCTTGAAAAGTCACTGAAGCGCAGCATGAGAAATTTAAAAGTTGGGGTCCCTACCAGCTCATGGCAGTCAGTTTTGTTCCTATTTTACAAGCAGAGCTCCCCAGCAGAGCAGTCACAGTGATCATGGGTATCACCATCTCCAGCATACTGGGAAAAGGCAGAAGAGCCTTAAAACTGAAAACTGGAGCTCTAAAAGCAGGTTGTGGAATGGTCACTAAAATCAGCTGAAAGCTACTGTGTTGTCCTGATACGTTCCTGGCATTTTCCAGGAGCTCAGTCTGTGCTAGCAGGTTTGTTGTCACTGGTTGAAGGTGTATTTTTATATAATGAAATACAACTCCTGATGTTAGCAGGACTGAGAGCAAACACCTACCATTCCCCATCTAGGGAAGCTGGCATTCAGCACTCCATGGCTGCCTTTGAAAGAAAAAGGAGAGTTTCTTTTCAGCACTGCCAAAAACATGATATTAATTGAACTAAGGCTTGGAATGAAATGTGAGCATGACTTGATCTAGGAGCAGCCTTATAGAATGAAATGTAAAAATATGCAGCACAGGAAGGAACTCATGCATTGAGCTACAGTAGGACTGATGAATTAGTAAGGATGGTCTATCCATAATTTCAATGAACTGGGACAGACAGGTAGGAGAGAGGAAGATGCACATAGAAAAAGCAATACCAGCAAGTCAGATCAGGAGCCTTCAAAGGAAAAAAATTCAGCCAAGATAAGGGCAAAGAAATCTCCCCTTGGTTTCTGCCATTTGTCATGCATCTCTAGTGATTGTGTAGATGACGTGCATTTGCTGAGCTCCTGTTAGGACACCACAGTTAGAGAAATTAATTACCCCAGAAGGCCAGAATGAGGTCTTTCAAAGGTCATTATCAGAACTGGTTTCTCATCAATGCACTACTTGATTGGAGGAAAAGACTCAAAATTGCAGGCCTTTGATTGCTGAGAGGGAAGCTTTTAACTGCTTCCTGCTGTTCTGTCATTTTGTGCTAACCCCAAATGGCCCCATTAAATTGATGTCCTGTTTCCCATTCACTGCCCACAAATCACTCTTCTTCTATTAATATAGGAAACATTTGCACATGATGGGAATTGGAGTGGCTAAACAGTAAATCTTAGAGCCAGTAAAAGAACTCAAAAGCATTTACCCAGTGACCAAAGTATTGATTTCCCACCACCACTTCATAATATTCAGTTGTGAACTTTATCAAAAAATACAGAACCTCACGTCTGCCTTTAGAGAGTCTTTGCACAAATACTGTTCCCAACCAGTGCGGTGGGAGTCAATCTGATTTCTGTGTGACAGCGAATTTCTTGCAGCTAATCAGGAGATAAAACAAAGGCCAGGAGTGATGCAGCTGCTCAGGCAGTGGGGTGTCATCGCCGACACCGTGTGACACCACGTGTGGCTGCTGTGGGTTAGGGCAGCAATGAAAACAGCACAGCAGCTCTGCTTTCTCAGGCCAGCAATGCCGTGAGAGAGCACCTGGAGCCTGGGAGCTCTTTGGGCTGAAGAGGAGCTGAGCCTCAGAAAGGTTTTTCTTCACTTTGATGGATGTCTGAGCTTACACAGTCTTACAGATTTGCACATACACTCTCCCATCTCGTGCCTCGGGTCCTTCCATTGACAACATTTTACTGAAGTCCACTTTTACTGTCAGGTTAAACTAAAAGATGCTGACAGTGCACTGGGGTGATACCAGGTCCCTTCTACACCTGCTCAGCTGCAGAGTTCCCCCAGCAGCAGAGGGAAGTGTAGGTAACCGGATAATGAATCCTAAAACAGGACTAGGTAGTGCAGGAATACCCTAATAATGGTCTCAAAGCACTTTGACATAAATGGAGAGGATGGAGTGAGTGAGCAACTTGTAACCTATGGTGCTTGTTGTGAGCAAACAAGAAAAAAAACTAATCCTTTTTCTACTGGCCTTCAGGCAATATTGTTCCCTTCTCTCCTTCATATCTCAGTTTCCCCCACTACAAAAAATGGGACGATGAAATCGAGCCCCTCTGCAGAGGGCTTTGATGTCTGCTCATCAAACCTGCTCCACAGGCAGCAGGAATCAGGACAGGTGCAACAAAGCCCAGCTCTCCTCGGGCAGCTGAGCTCACTGGGGGGGTCTGTCACCAAAATATTTCCAATATCCTTAAATGTCACTAAACTAAGAAAAGTAGCATTGCTGAAAGTCGTGATGAAAGGGGCCTCAGATGTAAATCCCTTCTAAAATCTTTGTAATCCTCAACTGCTTTGGTTCCAACAGATCTTCCCATAAAATGAACTGCCAGCCAAAAGGTAAATATAAATGCAAAATATTCCCAAAGCAAACATGTTACTGGCTTTTAAAACAAGTCCATTTAAATAATGTGGAAATATATTACAGAAACAGAATCTATTCCGATTTATATTTAAAGATGAATTAATGCAAATATCACAGGTTTATCCTGCATTACTCCCTCGAGAGGAGTCACTGGGGAAGCAATTTGTTTCTTGTTAGCTAAGGCAGGGAGCTTTGAAGTTACTGAGTTGTCTGTCTCTGCGAGTAGCCCATTTAATCTTGAGGAAAAGTGTCAGATCTAAGTTGGAGTGAGTTGTGTGTCTGTGCATTGTTTAAAAGTCTGGCAGGAAGAGGTCTTCACGTGCAGTGCCACCAGCCAGCAGTATGGGAACAGTGGAAGTGGCACGAAGAATGTCTGAGAGAAATCTTTTATCGGCTGTTAACAATGGGCATGGAGCCCTGAACAGGGAGTGTCAGGAGAAAGGCCTCAATTGTGCCCTTTTTTTGTCTTTTAAATTGACTCCTACTAGGTTTATAAGGGCTCTCATCACTTGCTTTTTGGTCATATCAATTGAGGATGATTTCTCTGAGAGCTGGTTGCTGGGAAAGCTACCAAAAGAGGCTTTTTTTCCCCAGACAGTGTCATAGTTTTAGGGATGTTCACACACCCCTGCTCCCTTAGCTGTGCTCATTAATCCGTTTCTGGATTAGGTAGATCACCTAGAATTAATTTCTTTTGATTTCAACTTGGAATACTGTGATCAGTTTGTTGGCACAACTGTGTGGGCAGTGAGTTGTGACTGGTTAGGTGGTAGAAGCACAAACCTCTGACAGGCTGTTTCCCTGCACAGAAAAAAAATTTAAAAGCTGTTGTCTGAAACTCCAGAGCTGTTGAGTTCACAGCAAACTCCACCTTCATCCCAGAACTGTTTTTCAGAAATCAATTTTTTCTACTCTTTAATTACAAATGAGACCCTGAGCTATCCAATAGCACAGCTCCACTGAGCTGGTACACATGAGCTCTACAGCGTCAGCTTTTAGCCTGGAGGTACCAGCCTGGGGTTATCAGCTGCAAAGAAAACCTCTGCAATGTTAAGAGCCTATAAAGCAATTCAGGGAGATCAGTATGCATCTGAAGATAGCTCAAAACAATAGCTAGAGGGGGAATATAAACTGTTTACTGCAATTGGATTTGCACTGAAACCTACCGATGCAAAATTCATAGCCTACATGAATTAATTTGCTCCTGATCACTTCTTACAAAAACTGTGGCTTCTCCCCCCTTCCCTTAATGGCTTCTATTCCATAGCTGTGGATTTGCAAAGTGAACGGCAGTAGCAGAGTAGACATAAACGTTTGGAAATGGCACTAAAATCTGTGAAATGAATTGCCTTTGAAATTTACAGTTGTCACCAGCTTATACCGAATCAAACTTGTCATGTTTTTATGGACTACACTTAATCTTTGAGCATCTTTCATCTCCCTATCACCTGTGTGTGAGGGAACTATTAGCCCTATTTTACAGATGGAGAAATGAGGCACAGGACACCTGAGAGAGGCCTGGGAATGACTCTGCTTTGTAGCACAGTTTTACTCACAGGAAGACATCCCCTCACCTTTTCTTGTTGGATCATCTGCAAGATCTCAAATTGGTTTTCCTGATGTACCACGAAATCAGAGAATCACAGAATGGTTTGGGTTGGAAGGGACCTTAAAGATCACCCAGTTCCAACCCCCTGCCATGGGCAGGGACACCTTCCACCAGACCAGGTTGCTCAGAGCTCCAGCCAACCTGGCCTTGAACACTCCCAGAGATGGGGCAGCTTCTCTGCCTCAGCACCCTCACAGTAAAGAATTTCTTCCTAATGTCTAATCTAAACCTGCCCTCTGTCAGTTTGAAGATATTCTCCCTTGTCTTGTCACTACAGGCCCTTGCAAATAGTCCCTCTCCATCTTTCTTTTAGGTTCCCTTCAGGTACTGGAAGGCTGCAATTAGGTCACCTCAAAGCTTTCTCTTTTCCAGACTGAACAACCCCAATTCTCTCAGTCTTTCCTCCTAGGAGAGGTGCTCCATCCATCTAATTAACTTGCTCCAACAGGTCCATGTCTTTCCTGTGCTGGGGATTCCAGAGCTGGAGGCAGCACTGCAGGTGGGGTCTCCCCAGAGCAGAGCAGAGGGACAGAATCGCTTCCCTCACCTGCTGCCCACAGAATTTAAATCAAGTTCCCACCGAGGACCAGGCAGTGAGTGAGGTGGGCAACATCCCTCCTGGTTTGCAACCACACCTCTGCAGGAGAGGAGAGAGTGGGGTGCTGCTGTTTCAGATGTCCCTGTTCCTCTCAAGGGTGAGCAGAGAGCTGTAGCTAAGTTAATGGTCTCTGCAAATGCTTTATAAAGTCATTTTATGTAATGACCTGGAATTTATATCTTTGCTTATGAAACAGGAGCTGGTGGCTGTTTTAATAATTAGCATGTAGTGTAAATACTATACTGAGCTGAATTCTTTCCTCAGATAGTCTGTGCCTGCTGGTGAAGTCAAGGAGAACTGGGCTGGTATCCAAGGACAGAAGCTGGTTGCTTGTCTAGTTAGGATACATTGAAAGCATTAGTAATGAGATGTGAGAAGAATAAATAAGCCTATTTACCATGTGGAAGAGAGCTGCCTTACAGAGGTTAGCTGCAAAATGACTAGTTAAGAGCTGCAGTCAACTGCCCCCCCCCCAAAATTCCAGGCTCTCCTGCCTTCCCTTCCCCTCCCCCAAGCCAGGAGTGAGCCCTAGGAAATGATTTAAAGGGACAACCCTGCAGTAAGGAGGTCTAGTTCCAATGTATTCTGCTGGAAAGGTCCCTTTTGTCTGAGGAGCTGAAGATGTGAATGATGACATTTGTGCAGGGAATTTAAGTGATTCCATGCTTGTGTACAGGATGGGAGCAAAAGAGGCCCTGGCTCTTTTTAGGCTAATTGAGATCAACCAATGCAGAGGAGGATCACCTGCAAGCAGGCTTAGAGTTGAGGAGGATACAGAACCTCATATGGAACCTTACACTCCAGAAATCAGTTGTGAAGGAAGTTATGGGTCTGGTTCAGGACTGAAAATCGTTTACAGAGCCTTGGACCATGGGATCTAATACAAATTGTAACACACAGGTAAAAGTTATTTCAGGTTTAGAAATCTGTGCAGCATGAATTTTGTAGCTGCAGTTTACCCTTTAATGGTTGGAGAGTTGTTATATAAATAGTATAAACCAGGCACTGCGCAGACAGGGTGGGAAGAGAGAGCTCATTTCTCTTGACTAAAAGAGTTCCCTTTAAAAGAGATCCCTTAAGAAGTGGGAATACGGTTGCTGTGAAGGGCAGAAAAGAGTGTGATCCACAGTTTGGTGGAAGGCCTTGACAGCCAAAGCAGCATCTTCTCTAAGTAAGGATTTCACAGCAGAATTAAAAATACATCAGGTCTAAGATCTCAATAAGTGGTTTCTAAAAAAGATATGTGGGAAAAAGAGCACAACAGAGCAGGCAGATCCTGCTGGCCCAAGTGGCTGCAAGCCAGGGGCAGGGAGAGTGTAGGTCTGCACTTCTGCTGGAGAATTACAAATAAAGGAACAATTGGGAAAGGCAAGGTGTAATTCATGAAGCAGCCAGAATTTGTTTCATGTTTCTCAGGATTTAAAGCTAATCACAAGCTAAGTTTACCCTCCTGATTCCTCCTTCCACTCCACACCTCCAGGATGTTCTAATTTATAGCCCTCCAGATTCTTGTGCTTTTCCTGAGCGTGATGTACATGGATGGAGCAGTCTAATATCTCAGTGGCTGCAGAAGCCTGACAGTGTTTTCACATTGCTTCTCCCTCCAATAAATCAAAGCGTTCAAAACCGAAGGCTGCATACCCAATAAAAGTCCTGTGGCAGGGGGAGACGGCTGTTCCTTCATTTTTCCAGCTGTGAATCTCCTGGATGGCATTCCTGCTGACTGGAGTGCCTTGCAGCAGTTATATAATTGCAAGTCAAAATTTCTCTGGTTCGCCAAATTGCTGAACCAGAAGGGTTTGCTTACTAAAGGACTGGAGGGAAGAAGCTGGAAGGGAGACATAAAGGCAAGAGGCTGTATAAACTGTTGGGCTGTGATCAGCATTTTGATCATTTTAGGAATTTGTCAAAGGGGAGGGGGGGAAGTTGTGTGGTGAGAGATGGGTGAATAATTAATCATGTATAATTTAGTCAATGAATTTTGCTGATTGGGGATTTTCTACAAATGGATTCCTCTGTGTGTCAAATGTTCTTCAACAGCTCTTTTCAGTGAATAATTTTTGAGTTGTAGCTGTATCCTGAGGAGTTCATTGAGGTATTTGATAATTAAATACTGAGAAATAAGTGAGTACAAGCACAGCAAAATATAATTCCATAAAATGCTGTGTGCATAGTACCATTGACTTCTTAAGGTGTAAGACCGGAAAAGTTTGCTTGATTTGATCTTTCATCACTGTCTAATCTTTGAAGAGGTCACTTTAAATCTTGAAAGCCATGAAATTTGAGTTACTTGGAGTGAATTACTCAGTTTTGGGGATCTGAATGCCTATCTATCTCCACATGACTGTGTGTATGAAACGCTCATCTGCAAATCTTGTACAGACAACTAAGCCTATTTCTTTCACTTATTATTAGTTATTCTTACTTTCCTCTCATCCCTTCATTAACCTGCTGTGCTCTTCCTACATTGCATCAGAGATTACTCAAATAGGGCAGTTTCCTGTAAAGTATTTGCAACAGAGCCCAAGCATCATTCAAAAATTCAAAGATCTTAATAATGATCCATAGTAATAATTTCCAAAGCTCTGAGGAAGATGCTGATATTCCTTAACCTCCACTTCTTGCGCAACCTTGGGCAGATCAATTATCTGGAGAAGTTTTGTTATCACCATCTTACAGGTAAAGCCCATTTGGATGATAAAAATCACTTGCAGTCGTGAAGCAAATATCTGAGACCTGCATCCCCAAAACTGCAATGGTAGTTAGGGGAACGTGTGCTCCAGGGGTCTGCAGAATCCAGTGTCATAGCAAAATACAGAACACAGCAAACTGCAGATGCTGTTGATGAAATAAAACTGCAGATTAAAAAAAAAATAAGATCACACACTGTTTAGGTGAAAGACTTTACTGGATAAGACACGGATTTTTAAGCATTAATTCTTGCAGTGGCATTTCACCTATTTAATTTAAACTGGTGCCCACGAGAAAACTCTGGACAACCCAGTGGAACTCAAGCCAGGGCAAAAAATTGTCCTGAATTCATTAGTGGTGAAACAGATGGTACATCCATTCAAGAAGGCAGTAGCTTAAAATAAAATAGGACACTATATTCTAATTCTATATTGCCATGTAGCTTTATCCTGCAGAGTCACACTCCAAGTAGCACAACTGGCCCTTCAGAGAAACATGTGCTCTGCTCAGCCTCTGTGCATGTGTTTGCAGCTCACAAGCAGATTGCTAATGTGGTGGTTTTCTGTTTGTTCCAGTGCTTTCTCTTAGGAGGATGCTCATGACAGTTTGATTACTTGGAATCTGAGGAGAAAATGCCCAACCAAAGAAATCAGTTGACACAGAGGAAAACCAGCAGCACATTAAAATAAGAAAACCAAGAGGTTTTGTGAAGGACACAATTGCGTGTTTGCGTGTTGCTGAAACACAGAGGTACTTTTAATAACTCTTTAAACCTCATCTTTTTCTAATAATCTGCATAATCCTCACCTAGGATTGCCAGGGAGTAATTTGTGACTGCTGTCTGTATGACAGGGGGAAAAGCAAAGCTGCTTGACAGAACATCAAAGGTTTGTGCCACTGAAGTTTTATGCAGCCACCGCTAAATCTTTCATGCTTGAAACAATGATGAAAAATGATTGTCAGCTATGAAACCAAAATTATATCAATCTGCTTCAGGGCTGTGGGGTGTTTTTTTCTTCATTTGAAAACATGACCCAGCCTAGCACAGTTCACTTACCAACCTCAAGTGTTCTGTCAGGATTGAAAAAGAATAGAACTGAGTCAGGAAGGGTGAATGTACTTCATGCTTCACAAATATATGTGGTGGGGTAGGAAGGAGAGAATGCCAAAAATAAAATCAAGCAGGTCAGTGCCCAAATACCTCATCCTGATTGTCTTTATATAACACATGTAACAGACAGTGCAGTAGCTCTCTGAATTTCCAAGGGGAATATTCAATGCAGAGTAGCTGAAATGGAAGCTAAATGTGGCTGGAGGCTTTAGTTCCCCAGCAATGCTACTGCAGGTAGTTTTTCTGGCTGTAAAACAAAACGATCCTTAAAGCTGAATGCTGAGAAGCAGAAGTTTGGGGCTGAGTTGGCTTGTCATCTCTATCAAAATCTGATCTTAATGAATATCTCATTAGCTACTCCCACACCTGCTTTTTCCTATGCGGAGGCCTTCGGGATACTAAAAAAAAAAAGGGACCAAGTGGGGAACAAGAACAAATGTTTAAATTATCACCATGAACTCTGTTTGATATGCACAGGGAGAGAGGCTGCATGGAGCTGCTGCTGCAAACAGAGCCCAGGGTATGTGCACTCCATCTATGCCATTGCATGCCCATGGCACTACTGGGATTGCTGGAGGAGTCCTGTGGAAGAGAAGTCCTCAGGCCTTGAAGGGGAGAAGGCAGTTTGATGCCAGCCTGTTAGGACTGAAGCACATTGTCCTGCTGTTGCTGTGCAGAAAAGCTGAATCACTGAGAACCTTGTTCCTCTGTGAGTCTTCTTGTACGGTTCATTTTGGGGACTGGCAATAAAAAAAATAATCCTTTCAACCCTCATGGCAAGGGGACTTTATCTAGACAACATTCGTTCTGCATTGCAGGTAATTTTTTAGAGTTATTTTTTGAGGGAAACAGGAGTGACACAGCTTGGCTACTACTCTTCTCAGACATGAGGGAGAGGTCCCATCGGTGCAGTGCCCTCAGCAGTCCCCCTGCAAGGGCTCTTTCCCTCCCCACGCTGAACACTGATCAGCCAGAAGCTGAAGGGGGCCAGATTCTCCCCTCCAAAGCTCTGTTGTCTTCTCCATGACAAGTATTTGCTGATCTTCTCAGCTGTTTGCTTTGCAAAGTTGCGTTCTAATATCTTGATTATAATTTGAAGCTGATTATCATGCGTGCACACAGTCAGCCTCGAACATATGGGAACCTTTCAGAGATTGTGCTAGTTCTGAAGAGATGCTACTCAGTGTTTAGTCACCAAGACTGTGGTATAAATTGATACTTCTCTGTGGTATAAATTGATACTTCTCTCTGCCTCTACTCTCCTTCCCATTGCTGCTGCTTATTGTCTGTACCACCTCTGACAGAGGAGTTGGAGGTCAGACAAAGAAATAAATGAAATACAGTCTAGAAAGAAAAGGGTTATAAAGATAAATGGTACTATTCAAATGTGATGCACTAGCAGGTGTGCTGCATAGTAAGGAGGGCTGCATGTTGAGCTGTGTCACCTCACTTGTTTGCAGTGCTGCTGCTTCTTTTTCTTCCACTGTTTTGCTGTAGAGAAGACATTAAGCCATTTTATCCTGAAAATCCAAATGTTTCATTTTGGCTAAAGCTTTTTTTTCCTCTTTGGTGAGAGAGGACAGCCCTGTGCCAGAGCCCTGCAGAATTCCTTGAGGAAGAGAATCAAAAGAATAATTTCAAGCAGTTAGATAGGTGGATATTGTCCTCTCAGTGTTAACTTACCTGCTCACCCCCCCAAAAAAGAAAACACCCAAAAATATTGTCTACGTTGTCAGATAACCACGTTGTTCAGGAGGTTCCCTCAGTAAGATCTGGGCCTGTGAAGCCCCATGTCTTTACTGCTCCTTCAGGAACTCTGCACCTTGGATGTTAGGCAGCAAAAATCAGCTTGTTCTTGCAGCTGAGCATCCTGCAAAGGCAGTCCCCATGTGGCAGGGATGTGCTGTATGGCAGGGCGAGAAGTAAAGGGGTAGAGCAGCATGACAGGACCAGAAGCCAGCAGCTGGTATTGTTGTACTTGTGCATCTGCATTATAAGAGTTTATATGATTAAATTGTTCCACAAGGTAGCTCTAATGAAGTTATAAAAAGTCTCATCAACGTTCCAGCTGGTAGGTAGCAGAATGTGAGATGCAACTGATGGTCAAATGTACACTCTAATCAGCCATGAGCAATTTTATTTAATTAACTTTGGTTTACTTGAGAGAGACTTAAAAATTTTGATCAAAATACCCTCTAATTTTGAATCTTCTTTCGGCCTAATTCTTAAAATATGAATACTCGAATGCATTTGACCTTTCAAGGCAGAACATGGCTGATCCTCATGGTTTAAACCTCTAATTATACAAATGAACTCATAAAATTGTCTCTTCTTTTATACTCCTTTATCTCAATAGCTTTCCTTAGAAAACACCAGAAATTTAACTAAGGGGGAGAGGGGGGGGCTAGTTAGAAGCTTCTGATTTAAGTCTCAGGGGTTTTTTCTTTTATTGATGATGTGACTGAATTTGTTTTTTTCATCTTCCTTAAAAAAAGCTTATTTTTAGGGATGTCTTACTTCTATGTCACCAAAGATTGGTGCTTTGGAACAGCATAGCCTGCTGAATTTACTCTTAGTGAGAAATAGGTGTTCTCTACCAGCACCATCCTGTGCATGTTTTATGTGTGCCTAAAATGAGGTGCCATGTTTCAATGAATAAGAGGAGTGTGTCAGTAAAAACTCCCATTGATTTATTCTTCACCAAAATTCTTTTCCTTACTAATGCTTTCTATTTTTGAAATGAGCTTCATTTAAAAGTGCTCAAGTTTACATAGAAAGTCAAAGCTTTTTTTAGGGTGCTTTTTTTCCTTTTTTTTCCCACTACTTTCATGCAAAAAGTACTACATTTTCTGTGTTAAAAATACAAAAGCAAAATAACATAATAAAGTATGTGCGTGATGCAGCATCTGCTAACACTGTCCCTATTCACTGTAATCAGGATGGTCAGATACCTTTCCACATTTAAAAGTGTATTTTCTCTGTTACTTTCACAGGAATAAACTTCCAGATCTCAGGTCTTCTCATACCACTGGACAGGACAACATGCCTGAAGTGATTGTAAAGAACACTTCATACAAAGGAAATAAATGAGGTAATTTGTCCTAATCAGGTCTTGTCCTGAATGCATTGTTAAATCCTTACATGAAACAAGTTTTCTTTCCCTTTCATTACACTTCTTTTTATCATTAACTCTTCTAATTAAATGTCATTGCTTCTATAAAATAAAGTCCTTCAAAACTAGCTTGTGTCTTCGGCCACAATTACATTGCAGCAATGAGCTCCACTTGGAATTTCTCTCTTTAGGTTTTTCCAAAGATACCTTTCTTTTGAAAAGAAAAATTTGTCCTTTAGAAGGAAAAGTTAGTCTTTTAAAATAGGTTTTTTTCCTTAAGAAAATTGAATTGAAAAAATCCACTTTCTCTCCTCTCTTTTCAAGTAAACTCACGTTCAGGAAAAGACTTAGTTTGGAAGAAGTCATACAGAAAGATAAAAGGTTTGAAAAGCTGTTGGAGTTTTTTTAGAAACTGATTGTTATACTTGGAGAACCAAACAAAAATAAATTATCAAAGATAATTTTCCTTCCTTCTTCTGATGAGACCTCATCATCTAATGCAAAACTGAGGCAGGTAAACAAATTTTGCCCCATCACTGTTGCATCAAACTCAAAGTTAATGTTCTGCAATTATTACAGTAATAAGGAAAACGATCTCAAAGCAAGGAAATTGGGCAACAAAGGACAGGGAAAGGCAGGAAGCTCCATATCCAACAGACCTATGCATTTTCTATTGCAGCATCTTCTCTTTCAGCAGGGCATATTGCAACCATGTCAGAAGATAGTTCAAGAAATATTACAGGGCAATTTATAGAAAATTGTGCCAGCACAGAGTTCCTGGTCCTTAGTGTGCAAATCTTGCTTTCACTGTTCCACCTGTGCTGTGAAATACAAATCCATGCACACATACAAACCCCTCCAGGTGTTTTGGTTTGCAGTACACTACAGTATTTTTCATGCTTTTTTGGAAGCCAGCTAAACAGCTGACCCGTTTTGCTACTTTGTGGCATAAAATCCTCAGGCTGAAAAGAAGCTTCTTCTTCAGTCATCTCTAAATCATTCACCTTTCATTTTATTGAGTGCCTTCTAGTCAATGTAGTAGAGAATGACTAGAAATGCTGCAGTGACCTTCATGAAATTTTCATATTTGCTTCTACTTCCAAGCCATTTTAAGAACCCTATTCTTACTTACCAGTTTTCACCTTAAATATTTCTGTCTTGAATACTTCAGTAACTGATTGGAACTTTATTAGGAGTCAGGAAGGGAAGAAAACAAAACTAATTTAATGAGGACAGAGGAAAGCAAGTTCATTTTCTCAACCCACTGTCTTGAAGCTCACCCCTGGTGGAAGGTCCGTGGGGTTCAGCACTGCAGGTGAATGACTCTGGCCCAGAATGATTTCATCTCTCTGAAAAGGTAGTTAAAGTGCTTGACAATTTTGTCTAAACTGCTGAGTTTTCCTAGAAATAGTGCTCCAGGTTTTCATAAGCCTGGAGACATTTTTGTCATTTCAGCCTCATTTGGCTTATTACATCCTGTCACCCATGTCCAGGTAAACCGCCTCTGTTATAAACCCACATCTTCTCTATCAACAAGCCTTTCAGTCCCATGGCCATTAGGAAAGCCCTAACATTTGATCTGACCATTGATGAGAGGCAGGTTTCAATTTGTGGTTGCCAGCCTGCAAAAATGATCTGCAAATGGCACATTGCAGGATGTAATTTCGTATCCTGCAGGATGGTGTTCAAGTCCTCTCGCTTCCCTTCAGTGTGAAGGTCATTCCTCCAGATCTGACATTACTGTTGCTCCAAGTGACATGGGAACTATACCACAAGCTTAATTTAGAATAAAAGCACAGTGTAATAATGTTTCATGTCAATTTGTTTTCTGTGATTTGACAAAAATGTTAATTTCTCACTGAGCTGGAAATAAGACTAGTCCTTAAGAGAACAAAGTATTTGGGAATATGTTTCTCTCTTGTTCAAACTAGTGAATCAGTCCTCAAATGATTCTTTATTTTTAGTAGGAAATATTCCCTCATTTCCTCCATTGCTTTTTTTAAAGCAGCCAAGCACTTACCAACCACCTTTTTACAGCTTTTCTTCTCACCAAACTTTCCTGAGACTGTAACTGTTCAATACTACAAATCCATGTTTCCTGGTATTGATGAATCTGGCTCTTGGAAAGCCTGAGTTACAGTGATTAACTATCTGATTAAACCAAGAAAAAGAGCTGCCTTGAGGGTTTGAAAGACGTGCCCCTCAGAAGATTTAATTCCATGATCTCCCTAATCAGTGTTTGTAAGTTCAGCGTACATCCTATGCACATCTTTTAAATCACTGCAGATTGCATATTGGCTGGCGGTGTTATCACAAATTAGCAGTACAATATCAGTTTCTCTGATGCAGGGAACTCTGAACAGGAATCGTTTGCATTTCTATTTGAGCCTCCTGGAGACAAATATCATGAAATGAATAGCCTTTTAATTTAATTGGCTTCCAAGGCGAGTCTGAGAATAGAAAGCACAATGCAGTGCACAGTTACTGTAGAAACGGCTGAGGTCAAAAGCTCAGCTTGCAGACCCTACATCAGTCACCACTGCTCCTGCAGTAATTTTTTTTAATTCTCACTGCATCTCCATCAGACCCCAGGAAGCCAGATAATTCAGCGTTACTATTCCAAGTGGAAGTGCTGGGTCATTTGTCACTGGTCGGATCATGCTATGGAATCTGTTTTAAAAAAAAGCTGCCGAAATGAAAAACTACATTTTATCAGTGCTCTTATATATCAGCCACAAGAATTAGATGAGGCTGAAAAAGAAAGAAAAAGGAGAGGAAAAATCTGTCTTTCTTTCTCATATAAGAATAAAGGAGACAGAACAAGGCAAGGAAAAGTGGTACAAAATGGATAATAGTCTGCCAAGAAACCCTCTTTCAAAACCATCTTTCTGTTACAGTTAAGATTTCTGTGTCATTTAGTGGAGCCAGCCATGCTGAATGCAATGAAATCAAAAAGGGAGATAATATCATGCTAATATTCAAAACTCCTGCACTCTTTTGACTGTAGAAATAAAGAGCTACAGCTCTTGTAAAACTCAAGCTAGCCTAGGAGCTCATCAATGAACACAGTGCTAAATGTAGAAAAGGGATTTCTTGACTATTTTTGGACTGGCTACTGCAGGATCTGTGCTGCTACTTCAGCTTGAATTCATTCATCTGTCTGCAGAAAAGTTCAGAACTCCTCCTCTGTGTCTGATCCCATATGCTTGTGCTGGCTCAAAAAACTGACACAAAGCACTCCCATATGTGTCAAACTCAGCTGCACAAAGGGGATCACATTAACTTCCCATTTCAGTGTTGGACTGTTGATTTTTAAAAGCACAAAAGTTCTTTTCAGCAGGTCTTGCATGAACAGTTGTTGGCATTTTTAATATTTCCTATTACTGCAGTAAATTATTACATGCAACTGTATTATTATTATTATTATTATGTATTATTATTTGCTGAAGGAGAAGGAGGGGGTAATACTTTCCAGCTAAAAATATCCTAGAAGCCACTGTTCTTTCCAAGGAGGGAAAGGACTTGTGTTCAGCTCATTCACAACTTCTCCAGGCAACCTGTGCCAGTGCCTCACCATCTTCACAGTAAAGAATTTATTTCTTTCTACTCTTTTTCAGTTTCAAGCCATCCCCTCTTGTCCTGTAACAACATCCTCTTGTCCATTGTCCATGGTGGAAACAAACTCTGCTTAATTGTGGTCAGGCTGCTGTGAACAGGTAAGGTGGACTCATGCAGGTTGACTTCTCTGCCTTGAATTTAAACACTTAATTAGTTAGAATTGATTTCTCTCAAGTACCCTGATGGAGACAACCCCAAAATTAAAGGGATTAGCCTCCAGTTTAACTCTACTGAAAAAGCTAATTGGGGAGAAAATGAAAGGAAAACATGTAAAAGAGACTTTTAAAGGGAAAAAGAAATGCCATCTAAGGTGAGTTTGACACAGGCACTGTGCCTCCTTGGTAACATTGCATATCATCCCTTACCTTTCAGATGTTTTTTACATCTGTTATGTTTCAGCAAGTCCAAAAGAAGAAGTATTTGGCACCTTAAAACACATTGTCACTCCTGGTAAAATTGTGTATTTCTCCCTCTTTGAAAACTGATATTCCTCAGGTAATGTTGGAATTAGAATCAAAGCTTTTCCTTTTCTCCATATTCAGCTCTAACTATTGAGAAATTCTGATTTTCTGTTGAAGAAGCCAAGCTTCTAATAGGAATGTTTCCCTTAATCCAGCCCAGTGTTTCCAAGTACTCTGCCTTCCAGAGGAAATCCTGGTGTAGTGACCTTTGAATATTTATCAAGAGGCATAAGGTTTCTGAGGGTTGTACCCTACCTGTAGAGAAAGGCTCTCTGAAGAAGCAGATTTAATAATTATATAGAAAAGAAGACTTGTTTCCCTGTAAAATGATCCACACCTGGCCTATCCTCACTCCACAGTATGCTAAATATTGTGTGCATTTTCTAAAGGATGTTAAAACATGGCTGTCCAAAAAACTAAAGTGAGAGAGGAGCTCATATAATGCATCAGGGGGAGAAAAAATCAGGGTGTATAAATGGAGAAAAAGGCTGTGTCAGCCCTTATGGAAATAACACATTTTCTTCATAATCTCCTGATACTGGAACAGACAGTTCCAAAGAGCAGCTGTCCTGATACTGGCTGGAAAATGAAAGGAGGCTGGAAAACAGGGGAGCCTGCTGGCTGTAATCTGCAGAATATGTGAGCACTGGGAGATTGTTTTAAAGCATAAATTCAGCAGGGTGGGGAAGGGGTCAGCAAAGAGACCAGAGGTGGCACAAAACTGGGCTGGGAAAGTGCTGGTCCTGCAAAAGGGTTAAGGGCAGAGTGGGGCATTCCTACCAGGAGCTACTGCAGATTAACGGGAAACTGGCCCAGGTGCAAATCTCCCTTCACCACCACCTGAGTGATTGAAGGAGCCATCCCCACCCCCTCCTCTAAATCATCGTGGGGTTTTGTCTTGTGATTTCAGACTCCTGAATCCAGTTAAAATATTTTTGTTGGGAAAAAAAAACCCACAAAACTATGAGCAGAGAAATACCTCCTTCTTCAAAAATCAGCTTTGAACTGGAAGGCAGCACAAATACTTTATTGTGTTAATCCTCAAGGCAGCCGGTGGCGTGGCAAGAATTAGAGTGGAACCTCCTTCAGGTAGTGTGATGTGTACTGCCAAAAATCTTTGCCTTGCATGTTCATGTTTATTTTTCTTTTTCATCTTCTTAGCATTCCCCTTGGTGAGTGCCTCATTCTGTCAGCTTATCAAAGTATTTTAGGATGCCTGTACACCTTCATGGGCCATTTCCCAGGTAGTAAGTGGGTTCTCCAGGGATATTCTTGTCTCTGCAGCAAGTTTAATATGGGCTGTGATGGCTGTATGGAGGTGGGGTTGAGGCAGCAGGAGGTAGGAGGAGTAGGGCTGTAGGATAAGGTGGAGAATGCTTTCAAATAGGGCAATACATTGGTGGTTTTGCCAAGGGGAGCTGTTGGTAGGAGATTGGATCAATGAATGTACTCAATAGCAGCCATGCATCTTTTATGAGTGATTCCTTCCAACTACCAGGTAGGTTTCTAGTCTACTGTTTCACTTTTTTAGGGAACTAGGCTATCCTGTCAGATATGTCCCTTTCTCAGGGTATTTTTCTTGCATGGAGCTGTAAAACAATACAAATCAAACCAGCTCATCTGATAAGAGTTTTTGGGGTCGTGCTCTGTCTCACAGTAGGAGCATGAGAGGAGGGACAACAGAAGAGAGCAGCTCAGCCTCCAAACACTTCAACACTGAGGCTGCCTCTCACAATTCCAACATAATTATTTGTTACAAATTCCACTTTCCTGGTTTTGGTACCATTCCTGGGAACAGCTGCTCCTCTCCATTGAATAAATGCCTATGTTCAAATCTGCTGAGTATCCCATGTCCTGTAGGGCACATGTGCATTCTCTAGATTTTGTCCTGGAAGGGAGGTGAAAAATGTAACAGGTCTAGCCTGTGCTATAATCAAAGATTTATAAGCAGCCATGCATTTTTTATGCACATAAAGTAATAAGAGCTGTAGAGTAAAAGCAGAAATGTGACATTAAATGGTTGCTCTTGCCGATTTTCCGCACGGTGTGATCAAAGCACCATTTCAGCACCAGAGTTGCAAGACTGCACCCTCTGACAGGAAGACAATGATTTGATCAGGCTCCAGTTAAGGCCAGGAGCGTCCTCTGCTTGAGGGCCAGCTTAGTTTCTCTTGCATAAAGTCAGAAGCAGCTCAGCTGGCCAGACCAAATGGCTAATAAAGGGATGTTTTGTAATGCATCCTTTCTTTTCATTCCCATAACCACCAACTTCAAAGCCAGTGTTTAAAATAAATAAAAAAAATAAATGTGGTTGTGATTGACACAGAAAGAAAGCACTAACACAGGGTAGATCTGTAACCCTCTGCTTGACAGAGAAGAAATCTGTTCCTTTTCTTCATATATATTTTCCAGTGTATTAATCTTTTTTTTAGTGTTTTCTTTTTCCTGAGCATCCCACTTTCTCTTTTTGTAGTTAGCTGCCAGAGAGATGTATTTTCTCTTACTGACTGCATCAGAATTTCCTAAGGTTAGGGAAACTGGTGCTTCTGGGGAATTATTGAATTCAAGTTATTTGGTGATACTTCTTCCTGCTCCTGCAAGCCCTGCAGGACAGCTAAGGCATTTTTCATTTCACTTTCTGGAACATTTAGGTCACTGATTTGTCTGCTAGCCTAGTAGTGTTTTATTTTCACATTGTATATGAACAAGTGTAAAGTTCTGTGAGCATAATAAAGTCAGTGTGAAAAGAGACTAAGGTTCATCACAGGATTTCTTGCAAGTTAATTGTTGGAAGCATTGGCATGCAATCTGGCTTGCTTAGCAAATTGATTTAAATGGTTGGAGCAAGAGGCAGCATTGTATCTAAACTCGGTCAGATTTGTCTTAAGAAAAGTTTGGTTTAGAAATGTAACAAAAAAAAAAAAAAAGTAGACGCAAGCAGCTGGTGTTTTGCTGTTTTGTGACCTGCCTTAAATGCTCTGTGCGGAGAATCCTGTTGAAGGGAAGGGTCTGGCATGTGCTGCTTTGCTGAATTCTGCTTGATGCTTTTGTGGCCTAAGCAAAGTTTTGGTTCAGCAGCTACAATTTGGGGAACAAATATTGATTATTTGGTGCCCCAAACATGCCAGATATTTTCTATTTTTGCACTGAATTCTACTATTTTTGCACTGAGTTCTACTGTTGTGTTCTTAGCCTCGATGTATTTGATGATACGTCCTTTGGAGTAGCTGCAGTATCAAAATTGTTAATTTTCTGCCACTCAGCACGTGTGCTGCTATACCCTCCAGCTTTTCCTCTTTGAAGGCCTGGCATCCTGCTTTGCCCAAGTGTTTCCTGTGAGAGAACTAAGCCTGCTTGCGTGGCCCTGGCTTGTTTCTCTTTGGCCTGAGAAGCTAATCTTCACAATTATTGTCACCAATTCAAGCCCATCCAAGTAGCTGGCTTTGAGAATATTTGAAATACTGCTGCCACTGTTTCAGAGACCCAGATGTACTAGCTTGAAACATTTATGCTATTAAAAGAGCTGTGAGAAATTTTGGATGAGTCTTCTGTTGACTTTGCAGCCAAGATTTCACCCTTTCATTATCAGACTAGCTTTCAAAGTTTTGATCAAACCACGGGCTAACAGATTTATTTCTCTCCCTCCCTGCACCCTCCCCCCCAAATCTAATTTGCAAATATAATCTTCAACCTGAGACTCAAACTGCAATTGCTGCTGATTGGAATAGTGTGAGGGAAATCAGGCTGAATGAGGCTGTATAATTCTTTATTTGATATCATTAAATGAAATGGCAGCATTAGTTAAAATACCCACCAAATGCCACAGGTTTATACCTTAAGTGCATTATTCACTCCTTGTTCTTTGGTATTTCCCTGAGGGTAGAAAGGACTTTAGTCAGAGGAGAAGAAACAATGATTTGATCAATCACAGACCTCTTGAATTGCAAATAGGAATCAGCAGCCAGCTCACAAACCTCTGTGCTGGTCTGTTGAGCTTTCTGTCAACCCACTCTTGTCATTCTCACGTGATTCCTTATATAATGTACATGCTGAAACCATTCTCACTGTTTTATTTTGGGGGGGCTTTTATACTGCCAGTAAGGTACTTTTTGACTTGTAGAGCCTCTTGAACCAGAGCTGCTCTACCTTCCTGCCAGCACAGTGCCCATGATGTCAGAGCCAGGGTGACACCTCACTGACAGTAGCCCTAACATAGAATCTTTATTGCACCTGAGTACGAGCAGTTATTACCTTTTATATGATGTTAAGAAAGGAGTAATAGTCTGAGAAATGGTGCCAAGCTGCCGTAATTTAGTGTTTTTACAACTATCTTGTAAGAATGTGAATATGCAGCTGGGTATTGTCTCCCCTCATCTACCGTGGAACAGCAGTGCAGCCCAACTGGGATCTTAACGCTTTAGTGTCATCGGGGCCTCTGTGACACAGCTGCCAGAAGGGACTGCCTTTGCTGCTGCAGAGAGATGCTGCTGGGAACATCTGCAGCTCCCCGTGGTCTCCTCTTCCATTACGGAGAATTCTTGGATGTTCCAGGCACAGAACAACAAATAATGCCTCGATCCCCCAGGGTTTTCTTTTTGCCATCTGAGAAATCGTTTAACAAGTTTCTGCCGTGCATT